GAGAGAGAGAGAGAGCCATTTCCTTCACTAGTGAGAATCAAGAGAAATAGACACGGGGAGGCTTTCTTACGCGACGGTGGTCATTGAACTGTTTGTGAATTAGTAGACCAATCTGGCAAACAGTTCTATACAAGTATGATAGATAAGCTGTTCCAAACGCACTATATGCTGGTAAAAATCATAAACAGATTTCAGAATACCATCTACGCCGGAAGCGCCCTCTGCTGAAAAGCCGGTGGCCAGTTACATTAATTTTGAAGAAAATAGTCAGTTTTGGTGTCCAGGTTTTCCTTTAGTTCAAGATCACGGAAGCGGCTATAGAAATTGGAAACATTCACCATTATGAACAGAGACCTTGTTCAAGGTAGGATCGCAATAGACAGTGCTCGCCTTGTATAAATCCATATCCTCCTAAGTACCTCTCATGGTATCCTCTTGACCAGTTTCTGAGCCATCCAACAGCATATAGCCAAATATATAGCATGGCCTGATATTGACTCACAGCTGTGGGGGTTACCAGGACCAGGTTCTTATATATGGGCTTGGCATTAGGCGTATTACAGCCAGTGATCCTGGAACAAGTGGTCCAAGGCCACGAGTATATAGCACGCCGCTTCCGACGGAAAGACGACTACTACAAGCTTGACAAGTGCCCGTCTCGGCGATTCAGCGGCCGTACTTCGCCTGCCGGTACGGACGTGGGGCCACGAGGCCGCAGAACTTCGGCGGCTCTTGGGCCAAGGACTCTGCGCATGATCAAGATAAGCTTGTTGTTGTCGGTCGATTCTTAGTGACCATGCACCGGCCCCGAGCAGACCAAGGCTGGCCATAATTCAGACAGCTAGCGCAGAAACATTCCAAGACGGTGCCGGACTGTCAATATCAGGTTCGCGCCTGGATTATACCATGGAATCCCGAATCAGGACGGACAGAACCGGAAACCAGATTGAAAAGGCCCAACCTGAGTAGTTGTAGAGACAATACTAATCGGTACCGTCCTTCAGGGGTCAGACATAGTCATCATGCGGCCAGGGTCCAAAGGAATCAATATTCCGTATTCCGAAGGTCTGCGTGCATGCCCAATAGGCGACGGCTCACCGCAGGTATGTTTTTCTCTAATTTTAGTGGCATTTACTATTTGCTGTACAATCTACCAAGTCGCCAAAGATGCACGTGCAAGGGATTTTTCGGGCCCTCGGTGACTTTGAGGTCTCGTGTGGAACCCGGGTATGGTATTGGCCGCCTTTACCGGATGGTATTCTCGTCGGCTGGATGGTCAAAAGTCGAGGCGCGCGTGCGGATTTTGAGAATGGAATTTCGTTTTTCCTATTAAGCGAGATATGCCTTCTTTCTCATTCTCGTCTCACAGGGTCGTTTGCATAAAATAAAAAGTACCCACAGCCGGGAATAATCAGGCGGTGACGGGGTTTCTGGTTGGTTGTCCGAAGTAGTCAAATTCCTGCGCGGCTTCGTTTCTAGTCCTCGCAGATCATACTCCACCGAGCGACCGAGTGAGTGAAGCAAGAGTGGGTATGGAGTCGTTAAAGGTCCCCCCTCGTCTCCCCCAAGAAATGGTTGTGTCCTCCTCCACGTAACGTGCCAATTTGCAGCTGGGTTCAGGCTTCGAGTGTCCTTCTTTAGTCGCTTCTCCATCAGATAATGATTACCTACTCAACCCCGTGGAATAATTTCAAAAGTCGGGCAAAAAAGAACGGGGCAGCTGTTAATTCATAAATTGACAGCAGTGCTCAGACACATGCGGTGCCGTACGGACAAGCTAACAGGAAAGAAAAGAGTAATAGTGCTTGCATCGAATAAAGCGAGACGACACGCCGCCTCGCCTTTATTACCTAGGGTGGGCTACCCGTGCCAAGTATGGTATGCTGCCGCTGGCCGTATTCGCGTCGCCTTGCCGGGCAATGGCGTCTCAGCGGAGGAGGGCTTGGCTTGCTTGGGGGGGAAGGGGGAGTGAGGCGGCGCCGTTTCGGCAGCCAAGACCAGCCGGGAACTAACAATTTTTTTTGGAGATTTCGATAGTCGGGAATTCTCTCAGGTGGTTGCGGAGATGATAAGACAAACTACTTTTACCTGTAGCAGGTAATGATCGGATCGAAAGATTTGTGATCGTGGGTCGAGTCTGTGAGCGTTGACTGTGGTTGTGTTGGATAAGCTGACCTTGTACAGAATGGTCTTCTCTCCTCTGGCCAGGATCTACTGTGTACACATTGCGCGTCTCTGCCCTTTATTCTTGCGTCCGAGCATGCTATGAATATCGGTAGAATATCGCGTGAGATGTGGGCGAATGAGCATACACAGAGACATTCCAAAGAGGGTAGAATTGTTGGCTGACATTGAGCTGATGAACCCGAGAAAACTATGGTGGCACTTGTTGCATTCGGCACGTTTTTTCATTCCCCTGTCCTCTAGGCGGTCAGTAAATAGCAATCTATCACCAATACCCGACCCAAACCAACAGAATGGCCAGTCGCACCATCACATCGCAACACTCGAATCCATCAACTAATAATACCTGTCTATGTATTCCGTATCCAAATACTGGCCTCATTGAGGACCCGTAACAAAGTCTAGCGCTTCCTTGGCCTTGTCCGCTACTGCAGGGTTCGATCGCCTAACGGGCCGAACGCTGTGACGTCACTGCGGCTCCCGTCAACTCGCAACTGTTGATTCGCTGTCATGGCGCCAAGGAGAGAGCACTGGAGCGGCGGCTGACGCCTACAGCGACGATCATGGCCCATTACAGTAATGCCCGTAAATTCGCAACGTGATTTCAATTCTTTTATCACAAATTTTGTTTGAATTTTTCCTTTTGCTTTTTGGGTAGTGCCGCGCATGTGTGTTTTTGTTTGCATATGCGTGCTTTCTGACATGTGCTGGGCGCTCATCACTCTGCTTTTATTCCCTGCAAAAGACCTGCCTTAGAGCCCCTAAAGTCCCTGCAGACTGCGCTTGGCATATGGCATTTGTGTCGCGGGAAAGAATAGAGAAATAGAAGTCAAAGAAATTCACTTGAAAATGGTTCCGCCCCTCCATAACGGCCTATACCTATTCAGTAATACTGTGCGGAATCGACTCGAGTCATGAATTGTTAGAGATCTTCCCCTCGCCTGCACAAATTCTACCAATGATGCGTGATATAAAAATCTCTTGACAGGGCAATTTTGAGAATTGGCACTACGCACTACCGATCGATTGCCTTGGTACCTTGGCGAGGGAAAAACTCTAATTCCCCATTCCGTCATTGCTCCTTGGCTCTGCCCTATAGCCCATGCTCCTCGACTTCTGGTGTCTATTTTGCCTTTCCCCAACGCAGCAGTAGTAGCCTTGGGACATGTAATGGTGTGTGTCTCGAGACTCGTCGTCTCCGTCTCCGTGAGACTCGCCTCGGCGGGTGGATATCTTATGTCGCCATGCTGCATTCCTACCTCTACACTATGCACCTGTCAGGCAGGAGAACCGAGCAGAGGCAAGCCGCCCGAGTCGCGCACCCGGCGGCCGCTCCACCTTTAAAGATGGACACTCCGAGATAAGAGTGAATGAGGTTGGAAAGAAGTTATCGTGCGGCGCCACTCGCACCCACCCACCACCGGGGCTTACCTTGGGTCGCTCTACTGTCACTGCTGCTCTTCCACAATGTCCCATACCGCACTTCTTCTTTGCCCTCTCCGCATGGGTCCTCACCCGCCCGGGGTCAAGGCAAACTGAGGAGCTGTTAGAAGGGTCCTGGGGGAAGCGATCGCGGCGTCACGTCGGGCTTACCAGGCCCTGCCTGTCCCTCTACTCCGCGATCCAAACTCCACGCTGAACCTCCCACTGCTCCATGTCAGTGGGCCGGTATGACGTTTTTAATGAAAAATTTCCAAAATTTCTTGCGCTTGTAGTAGCTCACTGTGGGTTCATAGTATACTGTGTACACTCTGGTATCCATCGGGCCCTCCACTATGCTCATCTATGGCCTGACGACTAGTTACTCCGTACTGCATACGACCAGGCACGGCCGATAGTCATTGTTTCCCATAGTACGTAGTCGTCGTACTGTTACTGTCTGTACCTATGCACAACCTATGTCATCGTGTCTCGGCGCTACTCTGGTCATATTTTATATATGAACCTCCTTCCCCGTGTTCTGGGGGAATATGCTCATACGGCTGGACCTCTGTATTCCTCTCCGCAAACTCGACACGGACCCTCACTTTGCATCTTTTTAGTTTCCGTCGTTTTATCATTGCAATCATTCATACTGCCCATCGACTGAAGAGGAACCAAAAACAACACCTTCAAGATGGTCAAGTTGGTACCAGTGCGGACTGGGCACCAGGACAACGCCCATGGCGTTCCTACCTACTGGTCCAAGAGTGGCCACACACTCCAGAAATACATCACGGCCCTAGCGACGACCGACTTCTTGCTCTTCGGTTACGATCAGGGTGTCATGGCCGGTATCATTTCGTCTCCTGCCTTTGTGTCTGATTTCCCCGAGACCGACGGTGACAGCACCTGGCAAGGTTTTGTCACCTCCATCTACGCTGTCGGTTGCTTCTTTGGCGCTCTGTTCACTCTCATGTATGGTGACCGTCTTGGTCGAAGATACTCCATCTTCCTCGGTGCCTCTGTCATGATTATCGGTGTGATTATTCAGATCTGCTCCGTTCCCCCTGGATATGGCGCTACAGCACAGTTCATCATTGGACGATGCATCACAGGAGTAAGTTCTGGGCCCCTCATCATACCCTTCATTAAACTCGTCAAACTAACTGATACTTCCAGATTGGTAATGGTATCAACACATCCACTGTTCCCACGTATCAGGCCGAATGTTCTGCTGCACACAACCGTGGCAAGCTCATTTGTATCGAAGGTGGAAACGTCGCCGTCGGTACCTTGATTGCCTACTGGATTGACTACGGCTGTACCTATGGACCCCACCCCTTTGTCTGGCGATTCCCCATCGCTTTCCAGATTGCCTTCGCCGTGGTGATTCTCGTCCTCATGCTGCGACTTCCCGAGTCCCCACGATGGCTTCTCTCCCATGGCCGTGAAGAAGAGGCCAATACGGTACTTGCTGCCCTTGCCGACAAGCGACGTGAGCACGAAGAGGTCCAGACCCAGATCACGGTCATCAACGACGCCATCCGTGCCGCTGGTATGCGCAGCGGTAACACTTCCATGAAGGAGCTCTTCACCAACGGCAAGACCCAGCACTTGCGCCGTCTCCTCCTAGGTGCCGGTTCCCAAATGATGCAGCAGCTGTCTGGTTGCAACGCCGTCATCTACTACTTCCCCATTCTTTTCCAGACCTCGATTGGAACTTCCGAGAACTTGGCGCTTCTGCTCGGTGGTGTCAACATGGTTGTCTACGCCCTCTTTGCTTGCACCTCCTGGTACGCCGTCGAACGCCTCGGTCGCCGCAAGCTCTTCTTCATTGGTACCATCGGACAATGCTTGTCCATGGTTCTCGTTTTCGGCGCTCTGATTCCCGACACGACCTCTGCTGCCAAGGGCGCAGGTGTTGGTCTCTTTACCTACATTGCCTTCTTTGGTGCCACCTGGCTGCCTCTTCCCTGGTTGTACCCCGCCGAGATCAACCCCCTCAAGACCCGCGCGAAGGCCAACGCCACCTCGACTGTGTCCAACTGGATCTGGAACTTCTTCATTGTTATGATTACTCCCGTCCTGGTCGACTCCATTGGCTGGGGCACTTATTTGTTCTTTGCCGCGCTCAACGCCATCTTCTTGCCCATCCTGTACTTCTACTACCCTGAGACGGTAAGCATACTCTCTTGTCTGACGCATTCATCATCCATACTGATTCTTCCCAGGCTGGTCGTTCCCTCGAGGAGATCGATGTCATCTTTGCCAAAGGCCACGACGAGAACATTAGCTACGTCAAGGCCGCCAAGATGTTGCCCAAGCTTGACGCTCAACAGGTTCGCGACTACGCTCGCAAGTACGGTGTTGAGAATGAGGTTTCCGAGGAGGATGACCTCGAGTCGTCCCCTCGCATCTCCCGCGAGAAGGATGAAGTCGACAACCGCGAGAACGCTGGTGTCTTGTCTTGATCGAGTCGCAAAAGTGTGTTCTACTAGAGGTTGAACCCAATGTCGGCTGCGCCGGCCCAAAATAAAAACATCAAAGTCCGCGCGTGCGCGAAATGATTTACGACTCCATACACACCATTTGGATGTGGTAGAGGCTCTTTTGAATTGGAGCCGCGAAAATGATATGACAACGATTGGAAGCATATCATGACGAAAATAAAAAGATACGAAGAAAATTTAGACGGATAGAATGCATGATGGATTAGTCCATGTCGGCATCCGGACTTGATGTTTTTTTCTTTTTACATATATACCCAAGCTTGTAGCTAGATTTCACGTTTACATGATGAATTTAGAAGATCATAAACATTCTCAAAAGTCTTTGATTGTGACCATGAATCCGATCATGATGCTGATATATCTACAAATACAAACCGTCGAAAGATATCGTGGCTGACTAGCTCTACATTTGATTCCGATATGGGTGTATCGCGCCGCATCAACAATTCATTTGCAGGTGCCGTCGATGCCGATTGCACAAACATCCAATCACCCAATTGACCCCCTTTCCCTTTTTCCATCACTCTCGCCCATCGGAAAGGAATGTAAGTCCATATTTCTCCGGGGACCTGTCAATTTACTTGGCCCCGGACACACTGTATCCGGAAACACCATCTTTACCCCCACGATGACGATTTACGCACATGCGACAGTACAAGGCCTCTCCCACACTTTGGTCTCAGTCTGCCACTCGGAGAATAGACAAAATAACAGGGGGAAAGTAGTGTAGCAGTGCAAACTGGGGCCTGCATGACCCCAGATGAAATCATAATACTCGGTTTGAGATGGAATAATGTGATGAGGTTTTCCTTTGAGTTTTCCCCCCCTCCTTTGGACGATCAAATACTGGGGGAGCATGTTTGCAGCTGGCACATATTACACTGGGCTGACGTCTGCGCGCATTCTCTATTTCTTTTGGGCACCGATGTTCCTTAACCTGCCCCCTTCCAACATTCCCACTCCTCTGGGTCCCGCTGATCCTTCCCCCTTGACTGTTTCTTCTTGGCTTGGCTCCGCAAGACCACGCCTGATGTAGTCTACTATAATATCATTATTATCTTGTCCACCTTGTTGATTTCTCAGCTGGTCCCGGAAAAATGGTGGTATAGTCGTCTGATTTTCAAGGCGTTTGCTAAAAGGGCTAAACGGCTCTACAAACGATTAAAGGGTGATTGATATGTTGCACTGATTTACTTGCACAGACCGAAATAAATGTAATGTTGAGCTCGGTCGTCCACAAAAAGAGAAAAGACATGGTGTCTGGCAACATCGAGTTTCTCCGAGGTAACGTACAAAGCAAAATCCAATGCACGCGGGTTGTCTCCTCGTGTCTGGAGAACGAATAAGAGCATGATAAGCATCTGGTGATTACTACATACTAGTATAGATATCGTAAGATCCATCGCAACAACGACTACTGCATGGTACTACTAATCGGTGCACATCAGCGGGATCGCGGGTACGGCATTCACTACACACACCGATGCTTTGTGCCTGGCCCTCACGGGCCAACTCTTTTTTGGATCCGAGCGACCCAGTTCCAACGGTGTGAATTCTGCCCATTCATACTATCGGGTCCCGACGAGGCAGTAGGATGGGAGAGGCTCCCCGCAAACACTGGGTCCTCTCCCCGTCTCGCGAACAGACAGTCAAAACAGTCAGAAGGCGCTGACCCGCTGATACCAACGTGCCGTAACACGCGCCCTCTAGAGGCCCGACGGCAAAGGACGGGGGAGTGATAAGAGGGAAGCAAGAACCGCAGACGGTCCTGTTCGTTCTGAGTATCAAACGGACGTGAAAGACCGTTTTGCGCAAAGATGAGCCAGCATTGGATCTCAATGCCCAAGGCAATGATGTGCCGGGTTGGTATCGTTCACAACTTAATCTTATGCCACTCGTGCCAGTACTACACGGTCCGTGACTTCCATTTCGAGTCTCTCATCCAGGCCGTCGATTGCTCGTGCTCGGGATTGGGATAGCAGGATCAATCGGGGGATTAGTTCATGCACTTATTACCTGCGGAAAGAGGTTCAAACCGCCTCGCCAATCAGAATGAAGATGCTTGGACAATGGTCTGGGAGACAAGAACCGCGAGATGGTCTGCCGTAAATATACTTTCAAGCATTGTGCTGTTGCTACTAATACCTTGTTCATCGCCACGCTGACAGCCGATGTGTTGGGTATGTTTAGGCGGTTACATAGCAATCTCCAAAGCCCGCTCGGCGAAGCCTGCCACAATTTCCATGCACGGCATAAATCATCCATAGGATCGGCTTCGAAACATACAGCATCATCATCATCATATTAAAAACATCATGAAATATCGTTTGTCACAAATGTTCGCAGAAGTAGTGAACAATGGTTGTATAATTATATCCACTACTCCAGAGACGCCGGCAAAGGAGAGCATCTTACAGCTCAAGACACAAGCAGATAAAACGGGGTATGAGCCCATCGAGTAATACACGAGCAAACAACAATTTTTCCAGAACGCCGAACCATGCGTGGTCATAACCGCCAAGCAGCCAACACCCTGAGGAAGCCGATCAGTAGAAAATAGGTCAAAGAAGAAGAGTCGACCCAACCTAAGCCTCGGACTTCCTCTTCTTCTTCTTCTTTTTCTCGCCATCCACAGCTTCCGGCTCCTCGGCGCCCACGTCGCTCTGCTTGCGCTTCTTGTCCTTCTTGTCTTTCTTGTCCTTCTTCTCCTTCTTGTCCTTGGACTTCTCCTTCTTCTCCTTGTCCTCAGTGTTGGTGGGAAGGGGGACATCGATCATCTCGGCGTCAATGGCGAGCGATTGGCCGTCGGCAAGGATGTCGGCCATAGCCTGGTCCTAAAGTGGGGATTAGCAAGAGTTTTAATACGTTGGCTGCACATTGAACATGACTTACCATGGCATCGGCGTTCTTGGTGGGCTTCTTTCCGCTGGCATAGAATTCCAGGCGGTCCTCAACCTGCTGCTTCAGCACCTCACCAAACTTCTTGGAGGGCTGCTCGGCAAAGTTGTCGATTCTGCTAGCAATCGAACACTTGTTGGCGAGGTATCTGGAAATGCGACCCTTGTCCTTGGTGTTGGCCTTACCAATGAAAGAGCTGTGGTAAATGAGACCGAACTTGGGCGTGTTGCCCTTGGTCTTGAGGGCGCGGAACAGGGCCTTCTCGGCACCGAGAATCTGCAGAGTCGAGGCAGGGTACTTGGACAGGTTGGTCAAACTTCCAGCCTTCTGGATGAGACGTGCAGCAACGACCTCTCCAATCAGAGCAGCCAGGTTGGGAGCAACGGTGCTCATCTTCTCGGTCAGGTAGTTGTAAAGCGACCTCCTGTACTCGGCGAGCTTGACAACGCGGCTGGCAAAGGAGGTGATGTTCTCCAAGTCGGCTTCGGAAATCTCGCGACCCATGGAGATCTTGGCCTTGTTGATGATCTCAGAGGCCTTTTCCTCATCTTCGTCGACCAGGGCGGCCAGCTCGTGCAGCTTGTCCTCGCTCAGGGTAGACTTGTCGCCAACGAACAGGGCCATGCGGGCAAAGCCCAGGTTGTCGGAAACAATCGCGTACAGCTCGGGGAAGTGCCATGAGTAGGCTTCTCTGAGCTTCTGGGAGAACAGGTTGATTCCCTTGTCCAAGTTGTCGAGGGTTGCAATAGCACGGATGACTAGTCCAGTTAGTAACACGAAAACCTGAGCGCATGTCGATAGCGCGCAAAGTTGAGAATGCGATGCACGCGTGAGAAGGACGTACTGTGGTTGTCGTTCTTGTGGACGTTGAATTTGACCTTGCCACGGGAGTAAGCGTGACCGAGACCGAGCTGAGCACGGGAAACATCTCCCTCCTGCAGACCCTTCAATAGCTTCTCGGCGTGCGTTCTGACACCACGGAGGAGGTCGGCAGCAATGTCGCTGGTATCGGCAGTCTCGGCGTCAACACCGGGGAAGGCAGCCTTGATGGCACCTCCCAAGTTCTTGTCCTGAACAGCAAGGGTGACTGGCGACTTGCTGGAGGCTTTGGGGAGGTTCAGCTCAAGGTTGGATCGCAGGTACTCGTTCAGGATACCCTCGGAGATGTCATTGATGTTCTCCAACGCGTCGGCGGCATTTCTATATGGGGCAAACTGTCAATTACAATTCTGCCGGCACAACAGTGCCCTAGGCGACGCCCTACTCACCTCCAGGGAGCAAAGTTGACCAGCTGAACCATTTTGCCAAAGGTGGCCAGGTTCTGCGAGTCGGCGCCGCTGATGCGGTCCGGCTGGTTCACAACCTTGAACAAGGCATAGCCAGTGGCATTTTCGTGCAAAAGAAAGTCGATCTTCCCCATGGTGCCGAGTGTGCGCGCGCGTAAGCGGGTTGTCGGAAGGTGGTTCTGGGTTTGGCTGCGACTCGGCTGTCTGCTGCTGGGTTTGAAGCTTCACAGACTTTCTGCTACTCCAAAATTTTTATTGCAAAGCTCCCCACCAAAAATTGGCGGCTCGCAGCGCACAATTGGGAGCCCCGGCTAATTATTGCTTCCGTCCCGGCCAATCACCGCTGCTGCCACCAGACTCCACTTTGTATTTTCGGGCTTATCGCTCTTATCGGAACTTTTTTTTTTTGCTTGGCCTTTAAACTTTTCCTTCATCTGGTACTGAACTGTGCAGAATACAGAATGGTGCGAGCACCGATCAATGGTTTCAAAGTACAATCAATTCTTTCTTTTCAAATTGCATATTCTTGCTAAATAAAATAGCCACACCAATTGATCCTCTCAAAGTGCAACGGATAATCTTTCATGATTGTGAAGTTTAGGCAAGACTCAAAGTACCTAGGTTAGGTCCTTGTGTGCAACCAACCATGTAAAAATAACCACGGATCCATAAAAAATCACACTCACTCGAGGCACTGAAAAACACCCAAGCACAACCCCCCTAATAACGCGTCAGGCTGATTCAGTATGTATGCAAGAATAGTATGCCAACACTTGTGTAAGCAGACGCACAATGAGAGTGGTCGAGATGAAACGATGTCTCTCAAGTCACAGCGAAACCTCCAAGCATTTGCAGGTTTTCCTTGGACAGGGAGCATCCACTCACCAATATCAATAAGAAGACGTAAGTGGTGCATTGAAGAAGGCGGCTTAAGAAAGTGCAAAGTATGCAAGATAGATAAATGTAGGCTGGTTCACCATTGAATGCAATGTGATCACAAATTATTGTATAACAAACACTGCATAATTGATAATTGTTTCATCAAAGACATACTGTCTTTCTTGAAGTACATGCTTTTTTACAAAATAATGTTTACAAATTGCTGTTATTTTAACATCTTCAGCGGAAAATAGCACTACTTTGATAAGATGGTCCCGGGGGGGGGGGGGGGGGAAGGTCTAGTAAGGGAGGGGAAACCAAAATAATGCAATGCAAACAACAAGTGAAGGCAAAAACATATTAATACCATCGCCCGCATGTTGTCTTTTCAAGCGCTGGCGCATGTTTGCATTATTGCCGGGGTGCATGTTTGTGACACTTTTCAGCATTTCAAAGGCAGATTTCATTCTTAGTAAGGCTTGCAAGGATATAACGCTTGCAATCCTGTAAGGAGGTGTATAGCGCTGATATGAATAATATACTCTGGTTTGATATATTTGTTTAAGGAAACTACCTCTGCGGTCATACTACAGCCTAATTCTCGATTTTTTGTATATCACGCCCAGTTCTGTTGTCCCGTCATGTCTTAATATCATCTACCTACGCAGACATAATATCCAAGCCATAAAGATGTGCAGGCAGAGCCGACTCCCGGGTTCCATTTATTGAAATTAGCCTTAGTGATCCCGTATTTTTTCACGATATCATCACATGTGTTCCCACTGACCACCTTATGCCACCGCTTACACCCACAAGTTGGCTTCGGTTGAGTGGGAGTTGGTGCAGCTGGGTTGCACGTGTCTGCTGGTGGCCGAGTGGTTGTAGTGGTTGGAGTGGTCAGTTTTTTCGTTGGCGACGTTGGTGTGCCGGATATTCCTGAAGGGTAGGTTAGGTCCTTGCCTTGGAATGCAAGTCGATTTCGCCACAACTTACCAATACAGTAGTAATACCCGAGCCAAAATCCAGAACAAGATTTGCCAACTGCAGGGTTCCAAGCATAGAACTGGTCCAGAGTAAAGGTGCCATACTGGTTGACAAGTTTTTGACAAGTGTCTCCGGAACTGGCGAGATGGTAACGCTGGCAATTAGCCGCGATCCCATCCTGTGTAGGAGAGGGTCTGGCTGGCGTCGACTTTGTCACTGTCGTGGTCGTGGTCGTAGCTGGTCTCGTAGAGGTACCTGCAGTCGGAGTACCTGGGACACCAATACAATAATACGTGTTTGCCCACAAACCCGAGCAGTCGCTCTTTACTGCCGGGTTCCACGACACAAAGTCGGCCAGAGTGAACACGCTTCTTTGCGCCTCGACGATCTTGATACAGGTGTCACCGGAAGCGGCAAAGTAGAATTTTGTACATGTCCCGATGAGTCCATCCTGAGTCGGGCTGGGTTTCGCAGGTCCGGTGGTTGTCGGTGTGCTGCCAGTTGTGGTTGAAGTCTTGGTGCTGGTCGGTGTCGTTGACCGTGTCGTCGGGCGTGGCAATCCAAAGTTTACCTCGACACAGTATGAGTTACCAATGATGATGCCACTGCAGTCGTTTTTGACACTGGGATTGTAATCTACAAATTCGGCGTGCGTTAAGCCCCAGCTCTTCTCAAAGAAGCCGCATGTGAATGAGCTGTCGTACGCGGTGTCGTACCAGGTACAATCGGTAGCGGTACCAGGGGCCACCGGGCCATCTTGTCTGCGTTCGTGTGAGTCGCGAGGCCTATCCGAAGACCATGCTGTGGATACACATCCACAAGCGAGATAGGCCCATGCCAGACTTCTGATCAAGGAAGGCATTGCTCACAGAAGAGGCAAAGATAGAAAAATGGTGTAAAGGGGGAGAGATGACGGAAATAATCTATGACTGAGAACGACCGTACCAGCGTCGACCATTGAGGGGCCATGGACAAGAATTATATGTCTCTACGTGTGAAGCTCCTTCCAGCAAGGAACCAAGAATCAGTGATAGTATCGCATCAGCCTCGTCCCAAGTTTCTCTCAACTCTATCTGTTAGCCAACGATTGGAAATATTCCAGTAGCTTGGAATATGTAATACGCCTTCGATAGTATTGAACAAGCTTGCTGACTCTTGCGACCACGAAAAGTACCATGCATATCTGCCAGTAAACTTCAGCTCGTGGGGTAGTATCCCAATGCCCACAACGTTTTCGACTATGGAGCCGAGATACAAAGTTACATTCGCGGAGGGAGAGCATTTATTGTATGAGGTTTCATTCATGGTCGTACGTCGAGTATTACGCTGTTTGCGGAAAATAGAGGACAAACACCAGAAATAGCAACTCACATCCAAGCAGCTATGCACGTTGCATGGCTATGGAACCTTATACTTCTTGGCATATACGAGAGACATTGTTTCAGTTGTCCCTTCGCACTGTGCCAAACAAATATTTGATGTGTCGCACATAAAATCCCCGCATCTGACTTGGACCTGGTTCCTGACTTCCTGGGTATTTAACCTTGAACTTACGCCGTAAGCTGCCAAGCCAACGTCCTCTCGCCTGACCGCATCACCCTTTTCATCCACATGATTATTTCATTTCTTTTTGTGACTCAGTCAGCAATACTTGTCCGTTGACTTAAAGGCCTGGGACGCAATATTTTCCCCGATTGAACCGAAAATAACACTACAGGCCGAGAACACGTACTACCAAGGACGGCACAGCGAGCTACAAGATCAAGAATGGCAATGCTAGAGAGCATCCTCAGCGGCTTGCAGCGCATAACGGACGACGGCGAATTGGCGCCTGACTTGCCTGACGCGACCCCGGATTACCTCAATTGGGGATTTACCATCTACCGCACGGAATACGGCGGATCGTCCGATGAAAGCTGGCTTGCGCTTCTGGACAATATCCAGGCCCAGATTGCAGAGGAGCTACAAGCCCACCAGGACGACGAAGAGAATGACGAGCAAAGACAGATGGCAGAGACTCTACAAGCGTTGTTTCGATTGGACACCCATTCGGATATCACCCTGCTTCAGGACAAGCCAATGGACGATCTCCGCGAGTTGTTTTTGCGTTCTGTAGAGGATGATCATGGCGCTTTCAGGCCACACCAGTGTGGATATTTCCTCCTGGCCGACTCTGAAGTCTTGCAGGACGCAGGCCGAGCAGTGAACCCGGAATTCTGGGTCAAGTGTGTGCAAGGCGATTATGTGGCAGCAAACTATACGCCTAAAAACAACCGTATGGGGGGACAGAGGTATTTCGGCTGGATGAAAATGACCACCAGAAGCATGTTGGAGCTGTGGGACCAACTGAATGTTCGTGATCTGGCAAGTTTGGCGCCCAAGACGATTGGCGGACTGCATGTCACCACGTGGAATGGGGAGCTTAGTTGACGGCGAGCTTGAAGTTCTGACAGCTATCTTGTTTGAGGCTATGCAGCTTTAGTTTCACGAAATAAAAGAAGTACAAGAGAGCCTATGTGTCAAAATCATCCGTATTGATCTCTAGATCGCCCAACTGGTCCTCCAAGTCCCGTAAAATCTCGAGCACTTGGTCAGTCAGCGGACTGGTTGAGACACCCCAATAATTGCGCATCTGCGTGATACCATTGCGGACAAAATTTTGTGTGTGCAAAACAAGGTAGGCGAAGAAGTCGGGCGCCCACTCGCGCCAGAGGTCGCCAATCGCCACACGGTTGTTCGGATTGGCCGCGTTCCACGTCGCTGCACCATGGTCCCACTGGATGCCGACGTTGTTGATGATGATGGCTAGACGTCCATTTATATTGGGTGTACCACGGTGGTTGAGATACCGAATAACTCCAATGCTGGCACGAAGACGCAGGAGGACATATTCCGGTGCGGCTGCGTTGGTCGCCAATCTTTGCCACCTTGATGTAGCGATGGGGTTGTGCCCCCGCATCAAATTCGTCTTTACGGCATTAATGTCCCTATGTGCGCCCACGAACGTCTCAGTGTTAGTAAAACTACCCAGACAATCCATGACGCGGGGATAGAGGCTGCTGTAGTCTGCACCACCTGGCAGCGGAGGCGCGTTGGGAAGTAGTGGCATTGTCCGTGCTTGTCTAAAGAAGCTGATGCTCACGGGACCGGCCCGGGCGACGGCACCACTTCGGAGGCTAGCATCATTGCAGTCAGTTGGTGCTTGACTCTCAATAATGGTCGGCAATCTCAGTTTGCAACTTACCGTCCAGCGGCAGCATCAGACATGAACCTGGCCATCACGTTGCCGTCAAAAAGATGTTCAATCTGGAACGTTTCGCCGTTGGGAAGTGACAGATGGATAATACGGGTGTTTGTACAGTCGCCTCTGCTCGCAAAGTCGACCACCTCATCCATCAACGGATCATCGGACGGGTAATCATCGAAGTTGTAGTACTGTTGGATCACATGATTAGTAAAGATAATTTACTGCGTATGACGGGCAGTAGAGTCGGAAACTAGGAAATCGAAAGAAAAAAAAAGCGAGTTGTATGAATGCAACTTACACCAGGCAAAGTGATGATGATAGCCGCTCGTTCACCTGAGGGGGAAGTAAGAGAAGCAGTAAATGGCCTCGCTCCTGTGATCCTTTTCTCCAAATTCATGAAGCGCCTCATGTTTGGAGATATGAGTGCCCCATTTTCGTCAAGTTGTGCATCATGAGCGTTGTTGCCTCCACGATACATCCATTCAATATCTCTGTATTTTGCTCCATCAAGCTCTGCGTTGACATTGCGCTTGGCAACGCCAGCATCCGTCTCATCGAGATCGCAGCTGTCTATACTGGTGCAGATGCCATCCACACAGTCGACCGTCTTGGTCTTGCCCTTACTTGCCCGGGCATCCCAGTAATATGGGCTGCACATGATGTCGTGGCAGAGCTCCATGGGGCCTTCGGTGCCGTAATTAGGAAGATTTGTTATGTAATCACGAAACCCGGGCATCTTGAAGTGCGGAAACTTGTTCCCTGTGCCGTCATTCCAGACCTTCTCCATGGCTTCAAGCATGGCTTGCGTGCCGACCTTGGTGACCAGGGCAAGCAGGAGACTCTCGGTTTTGGCTTCTCCTGGGTTGGTCGCTCTCCTGAACAAACTCTGGGAATTGGAGTTGGCGTGATTGTATCTCCTGCTGATGATGGCGCCTGGTTTAGCGCATGTCGGATCATTAAGCCAGCGCTTCAGTTCGTCACGCCACACCCCGAGTTTGTCGTTTTCTACTTCGATTGTGTCGCTATAGTTTGGCAAGCAGCAGCTGGCTTTGCCGCCGCCGGAACACTCTTTAGCCCCCGTATCCATTGCCACACGAACCCGATTATTCGGACAGTTAGGCCGACAGAAATCATCGCCACCATCTGCAGGACCAAAACCCAGGCCCGAGTACCATTCGCAATCGGAGAAGGTCATCTTCTTGTTGCTCGTATCGCAGCAGAACTTGCGCTCTCCACCGCGGCTGTATCCTCCCGGCCAGCCTCCTCCAGCTGTTGAGACATTTCTTAGATAATGATCCACTCGTAATGGTAGGAAGCAATGTATAAATGTGGAACTTGTGTATACTCACCCTTAAGACACACCTCGGCACCGCCCATTCCAGTAGATGATGAGGTCAGAAGTGTCTTTCTGGACTGATCTCCAGACTTTGAAGGACACCCTGTTTGGGTGTCGCAAAAGGGGAATGCACCCAACTCGCAGAGCGTGTACAGCTTGATACTCTTGGTATCTTGAGTACAGCAGGCAGCCTGGAATCCGCCGTTGTTACAATACATATTGTTGGAACCGACGTAGCCCATACCTTTAGGACAGGTACCGTCGCACTACAACAGCATCTGTTAGCAATTGCCTATTCGGGTAGATAAATGAGTTTTGAAGCAGCTCTTTTGAGCAATTTGTCTGAGTATGCTGTTTTGCAGCACCAATTTTGGCAATGCTTGCTCATAAGACAACTCGGAAAGGGAGAGAAATGACATCGGAAGTCGCTTACCTTCCCATTGTGGTGGGTATACCACCCACAGGTCGGCAGTTTCTGGCCTGGAGGGCAGCAAAATGCGTGTGAACCGATGCCGCCACAACCTGTCTGATCAAACATGTACTCCTTGCCACGCTTCCCTGGGTCCTCACGCGTCATAAGCACCCAGCCAGACGGACATCCCTCGTTGCAATTGGTCCACTTGCACTGGTCATTGGGGATGTCAACAAACGAGTACGGAGCATCCGAACCGTCTCTGATGGACAGCGCCTTGATTTTGCGGTTTGCGACCTTTGCTAGAGCCTTGTTGTACTTGGAGTCTTTGGTATCATGACTGATGGCCCACACCATCAAACCTCCCAAACAACGGCTCTGTGCGTATTCTGACTTGAGCTGAAATGTCTCCTCATCGTCGAAAGCCACCCACTGCGTAGGATTGCCCCAGGAGGCCACTTTTACGGCTTCTTTTTTGTATAGCTTCGGTTTCACTCCATGCTCCTTGACAAGATCGTCAATTTCCGAGTTCAAAAGAATCCCGACTTCTCTGCTACACTTCCCCTTTGTGGCGCCTGACTCATATGTACAGCCAGGCTCAAGGCACGATGGGCTGGTGGTTGTGAACGCGCGGCCATAGAAGCCCAAGCCCATCACCACCTTGTCCGGACTGATATTATTTCTCCAGAGTAGATCAAGAGCCTGGTCAATTTCCGTTAGATTGGTGTGCGCGTTGAGATATGCACCGGTCCATTCATTGCCTTTATCCCAGGTACCGTGGAGATCATACGACATGATGTTAAACCAACTAACTGACTTGGCCAACTCGACGATATCAAAGTTTTGTAGGTACCAGTAGGAAGCAGGGAGTGTAATGGATATGCCTTTTTTGGCTGTGTCTAGTGCGGACTTGAGACGACTCATGAATTTGGGGAAGTTTGAAAAGTCAACCTCCCGGCCCGATCGGTCTTTGGCTGCAGGATATTCCCAGTCGAGGTCAACACCATCAAATCCATAGGTCGACATGAAAGACACTAATGATTCAATGAAGGCCTTCTGTCGTGGCACAGATGCAGCCAAATCGGAGAAAGTTGTCGCGGTAGGACCAGGGTCATTGAAGGTCCAGCCACCTATAGCAATGAACACACGCAGGTCTGGGTCCTTTTGCTTCAGGTGCGTGAGCCGCTTGTACAAAGCGACGTCGTTGTCAGACACAGGGAGTACTTTGAAGCTGACAGGGTCGATGGTTGCAAAGGCGAAATTGATATGTGTATAGAGCCCAACGGGTATCTGCTCAGGCCAGAAAACATTACATGGCCGGTTACTTGCCCAGCCTTCAAAGTAACCGATAATGCGCGTGTTTCCATTGGTTTTGGAACATGTCTTGTGAGAGACTTTCTTGTCCCCACAAAACAGCTTAGTAGTCTGACTGATCTTAGCTGAGGGCCTTGAATGTGACAGATGGTAAATCCATGAAGCTCTATGAACTTACACCACAATAGCCATGTTTTGAGCAGCAAACATTCAACGGGCACTTGTCTTTCTGTGACCATTTAGCGCCATATCCAGGGTTGCACTGTGATTTGCGGCCACAGTCTGATATGCAGTCATGGCCACAGTCTAAACACGTAGTTGTGATGGTCAGCATTTATCTCATGAGGCTGGGCCGGCTATATCAGACTCACAGTCGGGCCCAAAGCCACAATTACCCCATTTATTACAACATCCCTCAGCGCAGGGGCTCGATGAACTGCATGTTTGGGCAGAAGTGGATTTCAAAAAAAGCGAGAGGCAAAGCCAGAGATAGAGGTGTAGCCAAAGCAACATGTTGATGAGGAGGAGGAAGCTACCGGATCATGTGGATAAAGGAAGGCGGGGAAAATCCAGAAATATCAGTTCATGTTTTATGAAGAAATACAGATATATACATTTTTCTTTTTAGGTAAAATGATCCAGCTACTTCCCTTTCTTTGCAACAAGGCTCTGAATCATATTTGCATAGCTCACCCACCCCCAAAACTCAACTCCAGTACCACATCTTTACACTCTGCGGGCTTCTGTTACCCATTGCATAATTAAGCTTACTCTCGGGAATTCCCTTAGATAGTCGATTGTGGTTTACTATTCAATCTCTTGACTTGTGCTAACTTGATGATGACCGTCGGTAGAATGCCGAGACATCGTGTTGTCAAGCGACCGGTCAATATTCGGGCCTTTGTCAATACTCGATAATGTGACAAAGATGAAAAAGCAAGGATTGTGAATTAAGAGAATCGCATTATTAGGATGCTTGAAACTCTCTCGTACCTTGCGTGCACCATAATACAGACACAGGTGCCGTTTTACCGTTGAATTCGGCTTATGTCTTATTCGTATTATACTTGGCATTTCAAATACAAGTCAGCAATTGTCTTATTCAAGATTAAAGGCCGCATAATAGCAAACTGTCTCACCTGCCTTCTGACGATGGATGATATGATATCTACCGCGATGTCTCGGTACGATATAATTTATAGTCGACCTTGGCAGGCGTGGTTTGCGGTGTATGGATGACCGACTTCATACGTCAGCCGCCGTGTTTTAAGGTTAAACGCTGGTGCATGCATTAGCATTACACAAGTACCTTACAAATACTCGAGGCGCGCACAGTGTATGAGATACTTCCATTTAGCGTAGTATCAAGCCCAGTTTCTGCCCATCAAATGCGGCCTGGTTGCAGTGCCGCCCCATACTCGTTTACCGTCTTGGTAATGATTTTTCTTACCTCAATATTGTCTGCAAAATGTGTCAGCAGGACGGTCAAGTCGTACACGGGAACTTTATAGGAGGAGATCAACGACATTTCTAACCTAGTGTCATTGACATCCCCCGAAACCCGGGTCCTGGGCGTCTCTGAGTTTCTAATCGGGATAACTCTCTTCTTCAACTCAAGTCCCCAGCTTTGTCTTGTCATCGCAGCAAAGACACCGCCATGTACCTCTCATTTGCTTCAGTCCAAGCCGCCGCACTCTTACTCGGGGTGCAGGCCGTCTTCGCACAAGAAAGCTTTATACTCTATAACGCAACAAAATTGGACATCACCTTGGGTACAGAATGCGTCGATGCCCTTTCCGCCGCTATCAGCTGCAACTCATACGTGCGGACATTTTTGCAGCTCGGCTGGCGGGGATCTCTTGGGGACGTCGCTTTTACTGATTCAGTATGCTCGGGCGCCTGTTCTGCGTCACTGAAGGGTTGGTTTGGCGACGTCACAAACCGTTGTCAGGGGAAGCAGCTGGATAAATCAGCCCCAAACAGACTTGGAGGCTATTTGTGGGCAGGTTTCAATGAAACCTGTGTCAAGGACCCGCGTACCAAGCAATACTGCAACGACATTATTGCCAACTTCAGCACTGTCCCTGATTACAAGCATATGCCACGGACAGAACTTTGTCACACCTGTCACATCCGGAGACTTGCTCTGATGCAGTCCTCACAGTATTCCATCTACAACGACTATTATAAAGAGGTTCTTCAGTACGTGTACGCTACGTGTGGCGGGAGTGGACCCACGAATATCCCTCCCCCTCTTACCGAAGTCCCAACAGAAACACCGCTATACTGCGTCACGGGCAAACACTACACTACGACGCGGAAAGGCGAGACGTGCGAGTCTATTGCCAATGCTACGAGCGTGTCTTCAGCCGCATTGTACATGGGAAACCAGGCACTGATCCCCGACTGCCGGGATATTAACTCGGGCGTCAACGTGTGTCTTCCCCTCACCTGCCAGACATATTACGTGCGCCCCTCGGATACGTGTGTGTCTATTGAGACGGCGCTTGAACTTGAATTCGGTCAGGTCCGTAATTTTAATCAATGGATCAACTTCGACTGCTCGAATTTACAGGTAGCTGCCGAGTTTTGGGGTCGCAGTATCTGCGTCTCGCCCCAGGGTGGAACTTTTACCGGCACAGTTCCGGCTCCTGCTCCCACGACAGCACCGCTGGGGGACGGATATACCAGAAATGCCGTCGAACCTCCCGCTAAAAAGACGGTAGCGTCAGGTACGACGATGAATTGCGGCAAGTGGCACGTAGTGGCTTCTGGGGATACTTGCAGCGCTATATGCATCCAGGAAGGCATTGAGGCCGGCCTCTTTCGCCTCGTGAATCCTTCTCTGTCGACTGAGGCGTGTACTGCGTCGCTGAAGCCTGATTCGGCACTCTGCGTTGGCCCGACTTACTCCTGGAACTTGACGGTGCCTGCAACTACCACAATGTCATTGGACAGCGGAGTTTTCTTGTGAGAACTTGCCTCTAGAAGAAAAAGTGAAGCTAGAGCAGCTGCATTTAAATAATTGCATATCGCTGTTGGGATGTCGAAATGAATCTAAGGGCGGGGTTTCTTGTTCAATTCAAGTTTTCCTTTTTGTTGATCGTTTATGTACGGCCAGAAGTGGGCTGCTTAGTGCAGAACACGCGGAAACGAGAAAGAAATCCTTAATCAATGTATGAGACACTTACTGCTAGGCCTTCTCCATCTTCGGATCACGGAACGGGTTTTCGGGTCCATACACAGCTTCGGTTGAAGCGAAAAGTAGCTCGTGCCTGACCCAGTCGAACAACTTAATAGTTGTTGATCCTTTGCTCACATGTGCATCTAGAGATTGAGCAATGACCTCGATTGCCCTGCGATTCATAGCATCTAGACCAGCACCAGCACTCAAAGCCGGGTGAACATACTTGGGAAAATTCATCAAGTACCCATGTTCATTTGTCAAGTCGCGACCCATGATTGCGTTGCTCTCTTTGCTCACGCCAAATACATTGGCTGCTATTGTTGCCTCAAAGGCGGTAAAGGACAATTTTCGAATCTGATTTTGAATGGGACCCAGAAGAGATGGGGAATTAACGACGTAAAGCCGTGAGCCTGGCATCCGTAGAGTGTATATCGGCAAATTGTATTTGTCTCTGTTATCAAAATGGCATCAGTGTCGTTTGCAGGCTTGACAAGGGGAGGAGGCTCAGGCACACCTCATCAATCTGTGAAAATTCACCCCTTTGGAACCCATATTGATCATTGGTGTGACAAAGGGAATGGCATCGCTGATTGAAGGCGGCTCCTTCGGGCCTTGAGTGAGCCGAAGAAGAGTGACAAGAAAGACATAGGTTGCCGCAATGGCGCCAATTGCTACAGTCAAACTGATAGCCATATTGAAAGTCTTGCTGATCGGACCTGGGCCTCAAATCAGCGAATCGCAAGTTTCAGCTGAAGTGTAGCGTGTTTATGCTATAGTAAATGGCAATACAGAATCGAGGGATAAAGGAAGTCGCGCAGGATGGCATGAGTTCTGAAATGATGAAGCCGCTGGAAAGAACGCGAACCACGGTAAGGTAGGCGAGGCAATGGGAGGGGGCAGTGAAGATAACGTTGGCCGAATGCGCCAGATGTGTTGGTGCAGGTGCAGCTGCACAGTGCATGCAAGAGATCCACTGTAAGTCACAGCGAAAAGCTGCGCACACTTGCGATAATGAAGCATCTAGATTCTGACACCCACTGCCATACCTAGAATAAGGCTAGCTGGCTTTGAAAATGATGGACACTACCATGTAGGCAAACACGCATTACCTCCAAAGTTAAACATTGACTCACCGGAAGGCAAACAATTATAAAGTTTCGCTAAATCATATTGGTCCAGCAAAGATATAATTGCGAATTGATTTGTTTGTTTTAATAAAGGGAGCAACTTGGTCTAACCGTCAGATTAGCACAAAGATCCTTGATCTTTAAAGGGTGACATATGACTAAAAGGTTAGACCACAAGGTCGATTCCCAGAGTCGACTGGGTTTTTTTGTTCCCCCCTTTTTTCAGTTTCATTTGTCAGACTTCACGTTAATCAGCTTCAATATCATTATGTGTCTCTTCTGAATATTTGAATTTTGCATTGACGAAATCAAAAGTAAACATCTAATACAGGTTTACATAGGTTTCATCATCATTTAAATGACTAGAGTAGAATCATTACGACTTTGACGTAATCGACATAGCCTGTAGATTCTAAGTAGTGTATGCATTATTATTTGTGTATTACCACGGTTTGGTAGAGGATGCGAAAGAATCTGTGAATAAGGCAGGGACATTTTGCCCAAATAGACTATTTGCCAATATTTTTGTGTTTAAATTTGCCCAATCTAGTCGTTGTTCTTGTCGGAGATGGGAAGTATTGCCAGATCTGGGAGATTGGAAACCCGCCTCTGATTTCCGTCTCCCTTCCTCCTCTTTGCGCCGCTGGCTCATCCAGCAGAAGTGGCGGAATTCCACGTGGCAGCTCGCGAGATGCGACGACAGATTGATGCCGAGTTCAAAGTCCTCCTCGAGAAGCCGTTTTTCCAACGGCGCGTGTCTCATACTGCCTTTGACAGCGCATCAAATACTAGTGAGTTAGGCAGGCAAGTAGGTCTCTCCGAAGTCACAAACAATGGGCTAGTATGTCATTCTTGTGGCTGATGTGAAGCTTGTCAGGATCTCGCCGATCATGGAGATGTTAACAGAAAGCGAAATGAAGAATCTATGGAAGTTTCGAAGAGGGTCAGACAATTTCAAAATGAGAATGATCCGGCATTGAAAGAGTTTATCCAAGTTTATCAAGCTGTCTCAAGACGGCCTCGATAACGGAACACATTATGATGGAACAAAGATGTGCCCAAGATTGGTTTGGGTAATAAAGCCATTTACAAGCCCATAAAGTCGTTCCAGTTAATGGCTTCATGGTTAAAAGCCTTATGCTAGGTGCCGGAAAATATGCGTTCATATTATTCCTCAGAAACAAGCCCTGCGGCTTTGCACTCGCACCTTTGTATAGTAGGCCTGTTTGCTCTTATCTCAATGATGTAACATACTCGCCCTTGGCGCATTTGCAGGTTGGCGAATACTTTAGCTGGCAAAGATTGCCAATGCCTGGAATCTTTGGAAAACACTAAGGACGTGCCAAGAAATATATTGACCTCGGTAAAAAGCCGCGGGGGCAAAATTTAGCTTGCTACGTATTCCTACTATTCTTACTAGACTTAGCGCCTGTTTCGATTTATATTTCAGTTCATATTTCCAAACTCTGGAGCCAAACAGATTGACAAATATACACCAAAAAGTCAAAAACATACAACACCGGGGATTCCCCAGCCGTCACCGATCTGAGTACTAATCCAGCCGTCACTAGTTTGACTAGGGCAGAGCGGACGGGATGCCGTATTTTCTAGTGCGTATGGTCGTATGTGATGGGATTGTAATCAATTTTAACATATATTAATGCACAAATGCGTCAGCCGCTGAGAAGCGCCTTACCATGCTGGTTCCAGCATGCAGAAACCCGCAGGAAATCCCAAACGCAAGTTGTCAAAGCTCGATGGCCTACGATATCGGATACATTGGCAGCTACTAAAGCTGTAGTAAAATATCTGAGATGGATATGAGTTTTGTGCTATTGAAAGCTGCCTACCTTGATATCACGGGTACTGTCGGAATGTATAGGTAGCCACTGCAGCCATGAGGTGGCTGTCGGCTGCCAGCATCCGGACCAGCAGGGAACCTCATCTATAGCCATCGTACGAAGGGAACAGAGTTTCCCCTTTTTCCCTTCGTACGATACGTCAAATGCAGAGCCCATTTGCCGTCGCCTCCGGTGTACGAAGTGAAATCCATTCGGACGGTGAAGCCATTTCAACAGGTACACAGTATCTAGAATGACAGGGTGATAACTTTACGGAGTTCCATAAACTACACTATATGCTGATATTGTGGGACCTATGACTCGGTCCCGTAGAACGCAGGGTGGTCCGTGTGGTGCCCGAGCTGTCATCGCCGACCTGCTCGCGGCCCTCGGTCCCTCGGCGGCGGACTTTTCTGGTATAAGTCATCCCAAATAAGATTTCTCCTCGCAAGAAGGAGTAGGATGCCTGCATGGGTATGCAAAAGATGGCAGATTCCTTGAGCCATTCTATCCCTGCAAAATCTATGGTCTCCATAGTATACACTTTGGAACAAACTATACACAGTAGGTACCTATTTTAATCCGCAAGGTGGTACATGCGGATAATAGCGGGCCGTATTCCTAAGCATCATTACTAGTTGGTCGAACCAATATAATATAACACTTTTTTTATGGTGATAAGGGTGGGATATAACAAAGCCAGCCACCGTTTCCCTAAGGCCATACGTTCAAACCAACGATGCTTAAGAAAAAAAATCAATAGCACCAAAACACCAGAACTCTTACAAGTCATTACGTTGCACCGGGTCAAGCCAAACGAGCTAGTTAATAAGGGGTATAGAAAGTATTTGGGACCAAGGTAATAGGTGAGCTGTAAGGTTAAGGTTAAAATGGAATCCTACAGCATCATCACAACCCTCGGATCGTCTCGGGTTGGTAGGGGATTGGCCGAGTGTTAGGCAAGTACATGGCAATAGTGGGGCATGTTCCTACATAAGCCTCATCACAGTTGGTCAAATTAGTACAGAACAAAACGACTTTCTTTCCAAGTGCAAATCATTACCTAATTCATCGTCTTGGTACCGAGCCGGGACCGAGTTGCAGACTGGCGATGCCCACTCATTTCCGCAATCGAATATAGAATATTATCTCCGAAAATCAGTTAGGCCTTCTCCCATGTCGCAGTATTTGGAACGACACTTTGGGCAGCTTGTCCGATTGGGATTTGTCCTCTTACCTCGTAAGGCTCGTCGAGGCTCGTTCCGGCTGGCTTGTTGCTCCGCTCCAAGTCCACTTCCGGCATCTTTACGTGCTGATCTTTTTAGTGTCAGATGCAAATGTATGGTCAAGGAACCTTGTAGTCGGTCCCGAGCGGTCAGGTTCGCATTAGGGCTGCAGAATTGGGGTGGGGTGGGGGCGGTTCGAATGCATTCCCAATCAATCATCTGTTGAACGGACTGCGTTGCCAGTAGCATTTGGTGCAATTTATGCATACTGCCAAACAGATGTGTATATTTCACGGTTTTCTAATGAGTGGACAATTGAGTTGTTATACTATAAACAATCCGATTGCCTCTGCTTGGTCCACTCCTCTCTGACCATCTGACACAATTCAATATGCTCCCGTGTTGAATCAAGCTACGTAGGTAGCTAAGAAGAGCAACAGCATGGGACGCGGTGATCTTTTCTGTTCCGTGTATCTTCGGGAAAGAACATTACCCCGTGACCTTTTATGATGAATCCATCGACTGTTACAGGAGCACGTCTCTGCGATAGCCGGATCGTCGTTGGACATGACGATATGAAATGATCCCTTCGTCAGAAGCATTGATACGAGCTTATTGAGGAGTTCGCCAATGCTGGATAGTGGCTCGGCAGGCTCAGATTGAGTCTATATCAATCTGAACCTCGCGGATCCGACATAGAAAGAGTATAGCGCACCTACGATGCATGACACCGCCTGTATTACAGGATCAGATGCTTGACAGTATCCTAGACATTCAGATATGGCGCTTATAGTTCTTTTCGACTCATGACGTCGATCCGTGAGTCCTGCGCTAGGTAGAGAGAGAGATGGATAAAAATTTCAATCTCAATACAAGTCAATGAGGAATGTTTGAGTATAAAATGGCAGCTGATTCCCTACTCTGTTCAAAACTTGGTATTCAGATCATCGATCAACTTCTCACAGTCTCAACACACACATCACAACCACAACCACAAAGTTTCAACATCAAATCAAAGCAACCATGAAGTTCTTCTCCATTCTCACCACCATCTGCCTCGCCGGCACTGCCATGGCTTGCGCTAATGGACCTTACGACACGGGTTCAGCTTGCTCTGGGGATTGTGTTGGCCTCACCAGATGTGGAGATGACAACCACGTCGTAAGTATACTGTTTCCTGTTCTGAATCTTCAATATGATTCGATATGTGTCGCTAAAGCATCGATACTAGATTCAATGCCAGGGTGGCGTTTGGACAGCCATTACGGCTTGCGTCCACTGCAAGAGTGGAGGCTGTATCTAGACGCCTCGATGGTGTTAGACCAGCATGTCCTTGGGTTGGATTGAGCAACATGTTCTGGTTTGGGCGGAGGTCTGCAAGCGTTGAAAGTCTGGGTGTTTATGTCGCTCTGGTCATAATTCGGACACTGCAATAACTTTAAGGTGTGCCTTGGATCTAGTCAAGATTCACCTTATTATAAAATGTTGAAAGCATCATCAAATTGTTGCTGGATCACCAATATTTTTTGCGTCCATATATTCGCTAGTGAAACCAACTTCTTCAAATGTCTCCTTCATAAACACTCTCGCTCGCATGCGGGGGCAGTCAGCCAGTGCTGTGCTGTAGCTCCTGGACAACAGAGCGTTTATGAGAGGTCTCTTTAATGGCCTGATCTGTTCTAAGAGAGTGCGGGAATATATATGCGCTCGAGAACTCGGAGGATCAGCCTAAATCATTCAAGTATTGTCGGTTGTACCGTTGCTTCGCACGAATCCCATGCTTGGAGACATGCATAATATGCATATTCCACACCCAAACGATGCGAGCAACCTTCATCAGAAGCTTTAATGACGATCGTGACCAAATCGTGGAAGCAGTGTTCGAAGTGATCGAGTGAGACTTGCGTGTCGTTCTTGCATATTTGACCCTCACCCCCTGACGGACAAAGCCAGGCAGTCATCCCCTGTGGTCCGGATTTGCACCTTGCGACTTTATTGCTGAGGCCTCTTGGTGCAAGTACTCAATGAGATTCGTTATGATAGTGGCCTCGGACGAAAACCCCCCACCTAGCAGCACGAGGGTCCCTTTGATGTTGTGCTTGTCGTCGTTACAGTAGTTGTTTTTGCCGTACTGACATAGTCAGTACCCACCGCAGATCACCTGCGTGGGTATATAGTTCGCTCTTCAGCACTCCTCTCTTGTAGACTAGAGATCAACTCAGACAACTTTCAATGCTTCCTCGATCATCTCGTCTTCAGTTCCCCCTCACATATCGGCTCAGGTGAGATGATTTGAGCCAAGTTGGTCCTTGGGGGCGGATTCAAGGGATGAGAGGGAACATTGAGTTGGCGTTTAGGGGAGTTGAGGATGTTGGAACGGGCAATGCGAAGGACTTCTGGCAGTGGACCGAAGAACAGGCGCATGCATTTATTGTCTGAATGGTCATTCCTGGATGAGCACATGCAGCTTGGCGAGTCGTCTAATTTTGGTGCTCCAGTTTAATGCTTGTACCTTGGTCGGTACCCAATCATGTGTAGGTAACCAATCCGGAATGCAGGGTTGTAAACAGTAGCTTCCTGTACAACTGCAGTTGGTGTTGCGTTTCATTGAACCAAATGTGAAAATATATCGACGCTCCGCGCGCATGTTCACCTTCCATGCAATCCTGTTTCTCGAAGTTGGGCCATCGCTGTTGTGCTCTGCTTACCTACATATATGAGAGCCTGTCCCCTCACTCGATATTCTTGAATCCGACTGCTCTACGGCACGTACTGCTTCGTTTCCCCCCGTGAAACCGCCCTACAGTGGCAAAAAGAACATAATGGGTGCTGAATATGACTACGTTATCATTGGCGGTGGAACCGCTGGTCTTACCTTGGCAGCTCGTCTTTCCGAGGAACCCGAGTACTCGGTCGCTGTCATCGAAGCCGGGAACTTCTACCAGATCGACATGCCACTCCTATTGTCAACGCCAATGAGCGGTGGTTCATTCACAGGAACTTCTCCCAGCGATATCCATCCCTCAATAGACTGGGGTCTTGTCACCTCTCCGCAGGGTGGTGCCAATCAAAGGCAGTTGCATTATGCCAGTGGGAAATGCTTGGGTGGCAGGTAGCTTTATCCACAAACGCGCTGTACCTTCATATGACTAATTATGATTGCAGTTCCGCGAGAAATAGCAGTAAGTTATGTTATGAAATGCGAGCTCGCGTCTTTTATCGCATGCGCCTGTCATTACTTGTTGTATGCATGCAGTTTTCAAATAGAACATCCACTGATTTGATATGATCTAGTGATCTACCAGCGTCCCGACAAAGGATCACTTCAAACGTGGGCGGGCATGGTTGGAGACAAATCATTCACCTACGACCGATTTTTACCATACTATCAGAAGAGCTGCACATTCAGTGGTCCGATCCCGCAACCAAATGCGAGTGTTCATGGTGGTTCTGATGCCCCGGGACCCAAGGGAGGACCTCTGCATCTTACTTACCCACTCGATCCGCGGCCTTTTTCCACGCATCTAGGATCTGCGTTCAGCGAGATGGGGATCCCTAATGCAGCTGATTTCAGCAGTGGCGAACTGAAAGGATCACAGTTCTGTCTCTTGACCCTTGACCCGAACACGGCAGTTCGCTGCTCATCTCAAGCAGCCTTTCTAGAGACCTGCCAAGCTCGGCCGAATCTGAAGGTTTTCCGCAAGACTGCTGTCCAAAAGATCGTATTCGATTCTGATAAACGAGCTGTAGGCGTCGATATTGATTAAGAACTATTCCTCAGAGCCAGAAAGGGGGTCATCCTATCTGCCGGGGCCTTCAAATCTCCACAGCTCCTTATGGTCTCTGGCGTCGGTCCGGCACCGACTTTGGAAGGCCTGAACATTTCAGTCATTGCTGACCGGCCAGGCGTCGGGAAAAACCTGAGCGATCATGCCATGTTTGGTCCCTCCTACCGTGTGAAGGTTGCGACACTTGTAAGCGAGCTCGCTAACCCGATGCCCCTTTTGGACAACTACTTCAGGAACGCGAAAGGTCCTCTCACGAGTCAAGGAGTCGATTTCATGGCTTAGGAGAAATTACCTCAAGATATGGTCTCCACGGACGCCAAGGCGTATCTTGAAAAGATGCCTGAATCTTGCCCCGATATCGAATATCTTGCGGTCGATGCTTACTTTGGTCAATATTCTTCTCCATTGCTCCGTCTTCATGAGGAATACGCCAAAGAACCTGGAAACTATGTTAGCATAGTTGTGTCCCCAGCCGCGCCCAGATCTCGTGGAAGCGTGACCATCAAGACTTCCAAAGCCAGCGATCCCCCTGTCATTGACCCTAACTGGATGGCGGACCCTATTGATGCCGAGATCGCTGTCGCTGGATATAAGAGAGTCCGGGAGGGTTTTTAAGACCAAGGCTCTTCAGATCATCTTGGCCGACGATGTCCAGGAAGCCGAAATCTATCCAGGACCCGGTGTAGAGACAGATGAGCAGATTCTTGAGCAGATCCGCAACTCACTGGTTCCAGTATTTCACGCGTCTACTACGTGCCGCATGGGCAAGACCGATGACCCCGATGCCGTTGTTGACACTAAAGCGAGGGTTATTGGCGTGAAGGGCTTGAGAGTGATAGACGCCAGTTCTTTTGCTCTCCTCCCTCCCGGACACCCGATGAGCACGGTCTATGCACTGGCCGAGAAGATCGCTGATGACATCAAGAGAGGGGACTAGGGGAGAAGTAGTCAAGTTGACATGTCGATGGAGCAAATCCGTAGCAAGACTCTGGTCTGATCCATATTAGCATTACACTCATTTTACCTGGCGCTGCATTTCCTTGAGTTAATCTCTTTTGTCCCAAATTCCCACTCACATCCTCTGAACGATTGCTATTCACAGGAAAGCGTGGCACAATTCGAGATGTAGATAGTGTTTACTTCAACAAAAGAATAGCCAACTGTGACTCTGTGCTGCTTTCATCTCCAAGGCTGTGTTTCTTGGCAGTTTCGCGAGAGTTTTAAAAAAATAAAAAAAAAAAGAGGTGAAATCTAGTTGAACTACAATGATGTTCTCGAAGGTATTATTCGAGGCCAAGCGTTCGTGCGCAACCGATCACAAAGGTCTATTTTTCAACTACCAATGCCAGTTTCATGTTGGCCAACACCTTGTAGGTCAGCGTAATATCATGTTATGGAAGAGATGGCATTTTGCTGGCTGGTGTTGCTATGATTTATAGTACTAGCAAGATACCATGATATCCGTTTTGTAAATTTTCAGCCAGAGTAGCATCAAAGTCTGAAAAAGACAAACAGTACATCTCACAGCGCATCAGTAAGCGATAAGCGTAGCCATTTATCATCATAGGACTGTCCGTTTCGGTACGTGGAACCAATGGTCCAATGTGATGGCGAAAAAAACATCTATTAGAATTAATTCATAGTTCAATCATACGGAGCCCTTGATTTCAGTCGTCCACAATCTGTCCCATATCTGGCGGAGGCATTTGCTAGAAACTTTCATCATTGCAAGAGCCTGTGGCAGTGTAGACTTAAATGTCCGATATCCTTGGACAATTCTCAACCGGCGGCTGGCCGTATAGAAGCTTGCCTCCGCGGAAGCTCCGTTCGACAGCTATCTTGGCTGTTGTGCGCATCTCGGCCTCGTATGCTTTGACACTAGCCAACGAGATACCTTGGGCGCCAGTCAAGGCCTTGGTCAGCACAAAGGCGTCCTTTACCGCCGTCGCAGCCCCGACACCCCCGGCGGGTGACATGACATGAATGGAGTCGCCAACAAGAGTCACATACGGGGATGACTCCCACTCCGACAGAGGTAAGGATGAGGAGATGATGCGTAGTTTGGTGGCGAAGGACTCATCCTGAAGCTCGATAAGGCACCGAATTGAATCGTGCCACTCACTCGTGAGTAGGGTGGCCAGCTGTCTGGCCGTGTTGGAATTGTACGTATTGGAAACCAAGGCTTCGGTGAACCCAAGCAATTTGGCCGGAATCAGCATAGACCAGTACATGTAGTCCTCTGGAAGTTCGGGATGACTGGAATTACGTTCAAGAAAATGTAGGCGCTCGACGAACATACTAATGGGCAGTTCCGAGTCGAAGATGATTTGCTGGATGGGTGGTGCTGTATCTCTGACAACATTCAAGCCCTGTTGAAGGCCGGGATGGAGCTTTTCCGATAGCTCGGATGTCAGGTAGGTGCGCCCATAGAGACAGATACCTTGAGCGTCGAAGATCTCATGTTGGGGCACGAGTTGCTTGCGAATTGATGAGTGATTTCCATCAGCACCAACCAGGAGATTGCCCGAGGCCGAACTTCCGTCGTTAAAGTAGACGGTGATGGGGGTAGAGCTAGTCTCGTCGATATAGTAATTAATAGCCTTTTTGCCCCACTGGATATGTTCTTCAAGCCCGCGAAGGAGTACTTTGCGCATGAATCCACGGTCGACCGTGTATGGCTTGGGACCCCGAAGAGCACGCCTGGCAGTTGGTTGACCACTAATAGCGTTGATGGCCGTCTCTATCATGACCGTTTCGGCCGAGGTAGCCACGAATTCATCGAATACCTCTGGGGTAACGAGATACTGCAAGTCAGGGACTGTATCTGGGAATATTTTGATACGATAACCCTGTGTACGGGTATTGACATCCTCGTCCGCCTCGAAGATGGTGAAATCAATCCCGTGCTTCTTGAGGCCCTGTGCTAAGGCTAGGCCACCCAGCCCGGCACCAACAATAATGACATGATCACCTGGCATGATGGGCTCGATTACTGAAGGCGTATGTGAAGAGAGGAAGGAGGCGTGGATTGTGTCCAGATGCTCTGACAGATCGAGGAGTCTGGGCGAGATTTTGTAAGTGTAGATATCTCTCTTACGTCCATCCTTGACCTGCTTAGTTATGTCTAGACCCGTTATGTCTTCATGATATGCTGCGCCTCAATCCTACAGATACGACTTTGATCACCAACTTGTATCTTTCCAGTGAGGGGTTGTCAAGTCGCAAAAAAGCCCCGCACTCATGTCAATGCGAATTGAGTAAACAAAGAACCACGTCTGAAGGACTTGCCCCATTATTGCCAACGTGAGGTCAAGGCCAGGGGAGTGCTGTGAGGAGAAACACCGCCCCCCCCCCCC